ATCCTTTTAATCTGCTGAACATGACTGCATCTGCCTATAATCCTAGCCCTGGGTAGAAGAGACAGGTGGATCTCTGGGACTTGATGACCAGCTAGGCTAGCTCTTTCAGTGAACTTCCTGTTTGAGACCCTGTCTCAAAACAATAATGTAAGAAGAGATAGAGCAAGATACGAAACATCAATCTCAGGTCAGCACACACACACACACACACACACACACACAAAAACACACACATGCATACAGAAGCGCACACACGCACACACGGGAAGAAGGCAGAATCTTGGTCTTGAATTGTGGGTCTTAAAAATGAAAATCAGGTTGGCATAACTGACTTTCCTTCCTTAGGGATCTTGATAGTGATTTTGTTTATTCACAAAGATGACATTTTAAATAACCTGAAAGCACATAAATTTTATGACAATAAATTAAATCATATGTAACTAATAGGCCAATTAGTCTAGATTATAATATTTTCAAAACTATTTTAAGGGCTGGTACACTTGTCCATGTATTAGGGAGAATTCTTCAAGAATTTTTTGGTTGATTTCTTATATTCTTAACCTTCAAGATGTGTTTTAAGTTTAAAAGTTTTAAGAGTAATGTTTCTAAATTCAGTCTTAATCAGTTATATACTCATCCCAGAGTCTTTGTGACATGTATATTGTCACAAAGGAAGACTTGGATTTCTCAGTTCTACCTTCCAGTGCCAAAAAAGATAGACAAGCTGAAACTGAAGAACTAGGTGTTCTCCTACTCTAAATAGATCCAATGGGATGCCTTCTCTGTCTCCAAGTGTCCTGTGGACCCATTAATGTATTTAAGAACTGTGAATGGGATGAGCCTGTTCATTCACAGTGAAGAAGTTCCTAAATTAGTTTAGGTTTCCAAGCTTCATTTGCATTCCATGGTCATGATTCTCAAACTCATAGTGCCTGATGATGAGATTTCTAGATTTGGCTTAAAAGCTACATAGCATCATCAATTCCCCCATGGTAATCCAACCACTCCACCTCATTTTATGAAATTCAGTTTCATTCTCTACTTTACAAAATTGCATGTGAAATGCACTGTTATTTTAAAAATACAGTATTATTGAGGGACCAAAGGGGTCCTGAAAATAGTGGACTTTCCACAATGTGCTCTTCTGTACAGAACCTCAAAAAGACTAGGGAGGAGAGATTCAACAGAATAGACCAAAAAAGACCTGAAGGTGTACTTGGGACACTCAAGCAGAGTATTTGTTAACCCCAACTCCTGTGGGGTAAATAAGAGCAGGTGTCCTTTGAGG